AAATTAAAATGTAAACTAAAACACATTAAAACTAAAAATGCAAAAGGGATCATTTTGTTATTTTCCTCTTCCTAAAAATAACTCAACTACTAATTAATCCTAAAAACGTGAAATTGAATTCTAAATGCAAATGCCAAATATTTGTATTTTTATATTTTTCATGTGAATTAAAATGCACAAACAAATGCAAACAATTACCAGAAAATAACACAAACTTCACGAAAAATTACAAAATACTAAAGAAATTATTTTGTTTGAAATTTTTGGGAATATTGCTTAGGGCAAAAATCACGTGCTCACAGCTTTCTCCTTTTGAGGGACATTTTTGGAGGTTTTTGCCATTGATTTAGATGAGATGAAGCGGAAAGATGTGTAGTTTGGTATTTTTGGTCCTAAAAAATCGAACAACGGGTGATGGAGGAGAAGAGATGGAAAGAGGGCGAGACTTAGAGAAATTGGTGAAGATGAAAGTAAAGTTTTGATTCAAATGGGAAACCTGTATTTATAGGTTCACGGCGACGGTTCGGTGGCGCTAGTGGCCGACCGTCACAGGCAAGCATTTAATATTTTAGGGAGCCAAACCGACGAGACGTTTCGGTCACCTCGAGCGCTTACGTCACGGGGATGACGTCATTATTAGGGCCTCAAGAAAATCGAGGCTCAAGTCGTTTCTTATCATTTTATTCTAAGATCCAGGGGAATATCTGTATACGGTGGAAATCGGGGCTACCCGATTTCGTCCCTCGATGGAAAAAAGTGATACCACGTCGGAAGACAAGGATGTCGAGCTCGGGGTCAAAATTCCTTTCCAATGTCGATAACACTTACCGAGGTCAGAAGAACGCGTGCTTCGAGATGATGGAGGTATGATTCAGTAACGGAAAGAGCGAGATACCCGAAATGGGCCGGAGATCATGGCGTGAATTCGGAATGGATTGGTCTTCGACGGTTAAACAATTGTCAAATATGATTTCCTACTATAATTAGAAGTGTACCTTCTTTAGGACTCCCCTATTATAAAGGGGGATCCCATTTATTTGTAATACCCATTGGCACTGATAAGAAAATATACGCATGTTACTCTCTTGCTATTTCACTTACTATTCATCAGAGTTCTTTTATCACTTGTTATTTTCATTATCATACCTCAAGATTATCACAGATCAAGATTGAGATTTAGCTTACACACTGGTTTGAACTATTTTATTCTTTAATTTCTCTATTTAATTCCTTATTTATCAATTTGCATTTAATTAAATCACATATCCTTAAAACCACAATACAAGTTTAATTGTTACTCGAATTTTAGGGTAAACACTTTTCTAACCTGAGAGAGGAAGAGATAGAACTAGTTAGTTCCAGAAGGAAAGAACTACATGAAAGGGGGTCTTGGAGAAACGGTAAAGTTATTTTCATGTGACATATATATGTTACAACCTTAATTGTTTGAGTCATAAAGTAGCCGCTAACATTTATATTAGAGTAGATTGTCTGTATCATATCTCTAGAAGTTCGAATCTTTTCATAACCCTGTGCGAGTGTTGGATGCTTTGGACGTGGGACTGCTTTTTTAGAGAGGCAGAGAGGGAACTCTTAACTTTATTAAGTATTTAAATTGTTTGTACTTAAAATGTTGCTTCTGGTCCTTTTCAGCCAATGACCTTGCTAAAATTGTGGCAAGTGTGGCAGGAAACTATGGTGGGGGTGGGATTGTGGATCTTTGGGACTAATTATAGATTGAGGATGAAATTGATGCTGTGAAAAATTAAGTTTGTGGACAAAATTGAACAAAACGACAAAATTTTAGTGACAATAAAATTCCATAATATGTATGCTTTCGATTGTAATTTAATTAATATTTTATCTATCTCAATTTATGTGATATTTTTTTTATTAGTCTGTTCCAAAAATAATGACACATTTATATTTAGAATTTTTATTTTATTTTATCCATTTTACCCTTAAATAAAAGCATTTATAACCACACAAATTGAAAGTCCCATAAAAACTTTTATTGTTTCACCTTTTAAGACTTAAGACTAAGTTTTATTTTTTCTTGAATTTCGTGTCGAGTCAAACCACGTCACATTAATTAAAACACAAGGAGTAGCTATTTGGCCAAGCTTCTAGGAAGTTAAAAGTGTTTATTTTAGAGAGCAGTTTCTTAAAAGGCGGGGGCTTGAGACAGGACATTTTGCTTAATATGGGGTGGGCGTAAGCCTCGATACACGGGGCATAAGTCTCACGGAATTTTAATTCATTAATTAATAGTATAGTATAATAACACAAAACAATATAGAAAATACATTAAAAGTTCAAGAAAATTAACAAGAATTGAAGAAAAAAAGATCTAATATGTTTTTTACAAGTATAAATAGTGCAATAGTGTCAAAGTTACTATGAAATATAAATCAACTATTACGTCTTAACTTTCAAACAATTAAAAAAATACAATTTCTTAAAAAATATTATTAAACTACACATTTTACCTCCCTAGAAATGAATACTCAATAAATTTTATAAGAACTTGTTTAGGGTAAAATCGGTTCATATTAAATACTCGAATAATAGAGTGACACGTGGAACCGGGGACATAGGGAAGACGAAGCAAGTGTGAACCAAGACAGAGGACAACAGCTTCGGTTGGCACCGGGCAAACCCCGAAGGAAGCATTGCTAACGAGGACAAATGAATATTTGTCACCTGATGACATTCAATGAAGAATATTCCTCAGTATTAAATGCATAATTCGTTACAGAGAATTTTGGCATTCATAGCTTGCCGTTATATATTTATCAATGACCCCCATAATTGTTATTTAAGAAGACTTGATCCTAGGACCTTGTTCCCTAGGTGTACCTATAAATAGTGACTTCAACAACCATTTTAAGGAGGAAAACATTCTGAAAAACTTATGTTACACATTATTCTAAGCTCAATAATACTTTATTTTCAGTCTATCAATATTCTTATTGCTGCCTTCAGAAACCTTGCTCCCGTAACCAAGTTGTTTGCTGTCTTATCTCGATTTCAACGCTAAGTAATATATTTCATTTAATTAATTTTTTATTTTGCGATGAAATTGATTTGCTTCTCTATAAACCATGTTATAAATTCAATTGTACCATTTTAGGGGTAAACAGTTTGGCGCCCACAGTGGGGCTTAGACAGTTGCGTCATTGAGTTGATTCTTGCATCTAGTACTAATATGTTTGATTTGTTGTTTCTAGCAAAAAATCATAAAAGATGGCAGATAACGATGTCAACATCGCACACAACGTTAAGACATAAGGAAATCCGCCTCAACAGGAAGATTCGATCAGCGACACCTACAACAAGGAGGACGTAGCCATGTCAGTCCATGACGGGTAATATCCACGACATGTAACGTGAGATGATTCTCGATGATGCCGAAGAAGAGCACGTTAAACAAACGGTAAGGATCTTTAGAGAATAACAAAAGGCCATCATGGGCCATCTCTCACGGCAAGACTAAGCTATGGCAAAATTGAGGCAAGCGTTGTCGGGTGCTTCCAACAATGCGAATGGAAGAGGTCCAGTTCCTCTCGGAGCTCCCTCATATCAAACAACTCAAAGGGTTGATAACAACACTTCGATGGGTGAGGTCATCTTTGACGGGGCCGGGGGGAACGACAGCGGCTCTGGTAACAACAATAGGAATGATCCCTTTAATACCGAGCTCATGCAGTTCATGAGGGAAATAAACACCCGAATGGCCCACATTCTGGGCGCACCGCCAGTTTTGAAGAGAATGAACTCAAAGAAATACACCCAGTTGCCGTTCAAACTGAGCTTGGCACCAGAATTAATCCTGAAGCGGTTCAAAATTCCAGACATACCAAAATATGATGGGATCTCGGATACTCATGAGCACATCATCACCTACACAACGGCGGTGAAAGGAAAGGACTTAGCTCCGCACGAGATTAAGTAAGTCTTGCTGAAGAAGTTCGGGGAAACTCTCACGAAGGGGGCCCTGACATGGTATTAACTTTTTCCCGAGAACTCAATAGATTCCTTTGAGATGCTCGCGGATTCCTTCATTAAGGCCCATGCCGGGGCCAGGAAGGTACAGACCCGAAAGGCGACATATTCAGAACTGCGCAAGGAGAGTCTGAATTTCCATAAGAGTTCGTGACCAGGTTTCAGATGGAAAGGAAGTTGCTACCAGTCGTGCCAGATGAACGGGCAGCTAAGGCGTTTACCAAGGGGTTGAACTCGAGGAGATCCGATACTTCCCGGAAACTGAAAAAACGCTTGCCCGAGTTCTAGGAAACTACATGGGCAGATGTCCACAACCCTTTCAAATCAAGGATAAGAACAGAAGACGACCAGCTCGATTTTCTGGCATCAACCAAGGGTCGGGGTCGAGAGAAGAACAAGGATAAGTTGAAGGATGCTTTTGACGCAAATCGACGATCTTCTAAGGGCCGGTTTTTTCCCTATGAAAGGGCCGAAGGACGCGGCAGAGATTTTTGGTCGGCGGAAAGATTCACTACCGATAGGGGAATTGATCGTGTCCAGAATAACGGATCATTGCAGGACAAAAAGATATCAGGCTCCCGGGATTCTACCTGCTCCAGACTGTCTGAGTATAATTTCAATGTCACCGTGGTGGAGCTGGTATCGGTGATGAGGAACATTAAGGAAGCATGGTTCCCGAGGCCGATGAGATTTGATCCCAGTCAGAGGGATCCTAATTTCTAGTGTGAGTATCATGGGACTAACGGCCACCGGGCTGGGAACTGCCGACATTTTTGCGAGGAGGTGGCGACATTGATAAAAAAGGTCCATCTCAGAGAGTTCATAAGCGATCGGGGTAAAAATAACTATGGCCGCAACTGGGATAACGTAGAGCCCTTGAAGATAGGAGAAGATCCTCTTCGACCAATGATCAACAAGACTTTTGGGAGAGGAGGGGGGGGGGGGACGAGATTAATGAAGTAACCTTTTTGGCAGCTAAAAAGACAAAGGAATCGATGACTCATAGCAAGAGACTCCGGGAAGTCGCCGAGGACGATATCACCTTTAAAGAGGAGGATGCTGATGGACTCCTACTATTGCACAACTATGCCTTGGTAATTTCTCTTAATGTTTTAGATTTTAAAATTAAACGCGTTTTGGTGCAACCAGGAAGTTCAGCCAATATCATTCAATGGAGAGTACTGGAACAAACCAAGCTAACAGGAAGCATCATTCTGGCCACAAAGCTCCTCGCCAAGTTCAACTTAGCAAGTGTGACAACCCGAGGGGAGATCGTGCTTCCCACAAATGCCGAAGGGGTCATGAAGACTACCTTGTTTGAAGTAGTAGACGGCTACATAGGCTACAACATTATTTTTTGCAGACCGTGGCTACATGAGATGAAGGTTGTGCCATCAACATAGAGGTTAAGCAAATAAGAGAGGATCAACCGGCAGCAAGGGAGATGAGTACGATCTCGATTTCCAGCAGTAAAGGGAAGGAACATACGGCACGGCAATTACAGGAATCGATGCCCGATCCCGAACCAGATGAAATTGATAAAGGGGAGGGCTCATCGGAATCTTATCAGAGACAAAAGTATTTCCAAGTACCGAATGAAACGGATGCAACCAAATCCACGGTGGAAGAAACCGAACATGTCACATTGTTCGAGAAGTTCTTACAGAGGAAGTTCCACTTGGGGACAGGATTAAACCCCGAGCTCAGGTCAGGATTTATAGAGTTTCTTAAAATTAATGTTGATTGTTTTGCATGGACGCATGCGGATATGACAGGTATTTCGTTAGAGGTGGTCGTGCACAAGTTAAGCCTGGATCCCAGCATCCCTCTGGTAAGGCAAAAGAAGTGCCCGATTGCTGAGATAAAAAGCAAGTTTGTCAAAGAAGAGGTAACTCGATTGCTTGATATCGGTTTAATCCAGGAGGTCGAGTATCCTGACTGGCTAGCTAGCGTAGTAGTAGTTCCAAAAAAGAATAATAAACTTCACGTGTGTGTAGATTATAAGGATCTAAATAAGGCGTGCCCAAAAGAATCGTTCCCATTGCCAAACATTGATCAAATGATTGATGCGACGGCCGGGAACGAGTTGATGAATTTTCTCGATGCCTATTCCGGGTACAACCAAATCAAAATTAACCTGGAGATCAGGAAAAGTCTTCATTCATAACAAACTTTGGCACATATAGCTACAATGTGATGCCTTTCGGGCTTAAGAACGCCGGTGCCACTTATCAAAGGCTCGTGAACAAAATGTTCGAAAAGCAAATAGGGAAAACAATGGAAGTGTACATAGATGATATGCTGGGTAAGTCATTGAACGCATGTGACCACCTGAAATACCTCCAAGAGTTTGACATCCCCTGTAGAATATCCTTAAAACCCCTGAATTGTTAGGTCAACTAGCCAAGTGGGAAGTCGAAATGAGTGAATTAGACATCGAGTATAAACCCATAACTACGATCAGATCACAAGTTTTGGCCACCAAAGAAGTAGTGATGGTGTCGGAAATAGCATCAGAGTTTGGACCTTGTTCATGGACGAAGCTTCCAACGTGAAAGGATCAAGGCTCAGAGTAGTATTAATTACTCCATCGGGAAAAACCCTGAGGCAGGCCATAAAAATTGTTCTCTTGACTAACAATGAAGCCGAGTATGAGGCTTTGATTGAAGGACTAGAACTGGCCCGGGGACTAGACTCCGAGGTCATTGAAATCAAATACGATTCCCAAATGGTGGTAAATCAGGTATAGGGGATCTTCGACACCAAAGAGGAACGCATTCAACAATATGTGGTGAAAGTTCAAACTCTGGTCGCACGGTTCAGGGAATGGTCAATCACCCACATCCAGAGAGAAGAAAACGCAGAAGCAAACACACTGGCCAATCTGGGCTGATCCATAGAAATAGAGGGATCAGATCCCGGTACCGTCATATATCATATGAAATTGGTATTGGATGTGGACGGTTATTATAAAGTAAATGCGACCAACTTGGTCTGGGACTGAAGAAATAAAATCATTGACTACCTTGAGCGTGGCAAACTGCTTGAAGACCCGAAGGCATCCCGGGCACTCCCTACCAAAGTAGCTCGTTACAGCTTATGGGAGTCCAGTTGTATAGAAAGTCGTTCCAAGGCACGTTGGCCCAATGCTTAGGAGCCTCTAAGGCCAATTACGTCATGAGAGAAGTTCACGAAGGATTATGTGGAAATCACTCAGGTGTGGATTCGTTAGTGTTAAAGTTAGTTAGGGTAGGATACTACCGCCCTTGGATGGAACAATATGCTAAGGCATTCATTCAGAGATACAACAAGTGTCAATGCCACACAGCTTGTCACAACCCAAAATACACTATAGGTCACGATGGCGCCTAACGCCGCCGTCAGGCAAGCCAACGTTGATTTATCAATTTATTTACTCATTTTATTACTTTCGAAATCACAATCTTCATTAATTCAATGATATAAAATAGAATTTACAGGGTGAATGATGATACTTACATGATCTATGATAGCAAACAACCAGTAGGAACTCCCAAAACCTAGTGTCACAAGTGCATGAGCATTTTTTCTAAGGAGTACAATAATAATACAACATCTGTCCCGAATGTAATAAGACAGAATAAAATAAATAATACAATGGAGAGTTGGTGAACTGCGGAGCGTAGCCTGGAATGCAGCTCTCACGAAAATCTCCTCAACAGGTGCGCCTACGCGCCAAGATGATCACCAAATGACATGTTAGATCTTGCACATTTAGGGCAGAAGTGCAGCATGAGTACGTAAATCAACGCATACCCAGTAAGTATCTAGCCTAACCCCGGAGAAGTAGTGATGAAGGGTCGACATCTACACTTACTAGAGGTCCAAATAAATAATATGATAATTCATAACAGATATGAAGTGCACAGCAATAGTGAGGTAAAACCTGAAATTTCATAATGTTCCGATTATTCCTTTTAAATCATAAGTTTCTCGATCTTGCGTTCTACCTTAATACCTCAGAAAATGTCAAGGGTCAATACCAAATAAATAAGTGTCAGGCATTAGTAGGAAGATTAGCTCGTGAATATTCGGACAACTAGCAATATAACACACAATTTTGCCGAGGTCGTTCGGCCCAATCCAGAATAACGTGTACACTGCCGAGGGTCGAGCGGCACGAACTGCAGATGCATCTATATACTGTCGAGGCATTCGGCCCTCTCCACAAGAAAGGAAGGAAGATACCGAATTACAAGACATGTGTTCTGATCACGCCCAACTATGCCTTATAAAAAGGACAAAGCGGTCGCTGCAAATATATTCCAGTTAACAAGTCCGGAGTCGAATCCCACATGGAATTAACCTATCGACCATAGCAGTTGGACTCATAGAAATTCACGTATTCAATCTTTAGAGATATTTGAATAACAAAATGGGAGTTTATTAACTAAATATTATGTAATAAAAATGCAGTAATTAAGAACTAGCTATAAATTGATTGTAAGCAAGAATAAGAATGGTCTAAGGTTCTGATTTCCCCTCTTGTCGGAATCCTTTCCGCTATGTTTGCTATGAATTTGCCTAAGTCTTCTCTATCGATCATGAGCACTCTGATTGTTGTAACTCTCTCCTGAGTAATTACAACAATATACTAGACATATTCTCCCAAATTACGCTAGCTGGCATTAGTTACACCTCACTTAGATCGCACCCAAGGCTTCGTTATCCCTAATCCCACCTTTAAACCCTTCGTATTGATTCCTCATATACGTTAGGAGTGGTGTTGTTCAACAACTACCTAAATATACACTCTCTCCTGATTAATGCATACTAAATGGGCACAACCGATTGAGGGCCCTTCATCAACAGCAATCACAATATAGTTGAACAAGCAGAGAAAATACTATGGCAAATCTATATTAACATATCAAGAAATTCATCCTCCAAGAAGTTCCATCAAAACCCTAGATTAAGAGTTTAGCTACGCATAATCGTGTTCACAATCATAACAGTAGAATTCATTATTAGTGATCAAAACAAGAGGAAGAAAGGTAAAACTTTATGCCGAATCTTCCGCCTTGCCTCTTGCCTCTTCTTGCCTTCAATAATCCGTCAAAAACCTTGATACCTTCTTTTTGGGCGAGCTGGGCTTCTTATAGGTTAAGGAGAGTTGCCCCCAAACTTACGAATTTACCCCTGAAATAAAGTTCCTCGGAGTGACGAGCGCGGTCGTGCTTGGACCACGGTCAGACCGCGCATATTGCATTCTTTTCTGCCTGACGTGCGTGGCCTGAGCGCGGCCGCGGATGGCCCGTGTTCCTTGAGCATCAGTTGTCTTCCCCTTTTTTTTCTTCTTTCGCGCACACTCACCTCTGATTGGCCTTCCTTGCTCGAAATTAACTCCATACACTGATTAATGTCCTCATACTCAGGACTTGCTCCTTGCAAAGCACAAAAATTCATAATTAGAGCCATTTGTTGTCATTTAACCTTCATATAGTAATAAAGTATAGCTAAGTTGAGGCGTAAATGGTCGCTAAACTACATGAATATAGCCTATTATCAACACCGCACACTTAAACCATTGCTCGTCCCCGAGAAATCAACCATACTCTACTGAGGTTCCTTCGCTAAGCAACTTCTCTAACTCATCACACCAAGAACATATCACAAGGCTTGAGTCCTATAGTGTAACATCTTTGCCTCAAGAGTTGACTCTCACTTGCCGTGCAATATTCCTAACTTACCCACTTACTCTACACAGAAATCAAGATGTACCTTTCCTTCTTGAATCAAGTGCCCTCACATCGCAAACGAGAGTAGTTCCACAAACAGTAAAAATTAAGAACAATTAGGAACTCAAATAGACAAAATTCAAACATTCATATGCCATAAAAGATGCACCATAGGCTTGCCCGTAGTGTATTACTCTACTAATCGAGCTCATTCAGCCTAGGATCAAGTAGGACTTTATTTGGTTGTAATGTAGGCTATGGGACGGGTAGGATACATTTGGATACAAGAGTGACTACACCTCCCTATGCACTTTAATACATATACTTTCACATTCAGAACCCCACACTTATGTCGAACCATGAATCCACCCTTACATCAATATATATCAACACCCTGCTTCTTTAGGCACACTTAATCAAGAGCCACTACTTATCAAAATAAATTTTTCACAACAATATAACCATTTTAACTCCTGATTTTTTTTATTTTTATTTTTTTCTTTTTTTTCATTCAAGTGGCTCTTACTTGTTCAAAACCATTCACCTTTCTTCTGATTTCATTAGTTCCACTCAAAAGCCAAAACCAACCACCCCACACAGAATTCAAGTGCTCATGGGAGGTGAAAAGGTTCAAACAAATTGTTCATTCAAACAATTGGGTAAGGCTTGTAATGTGATTGCCAAGG